TTTTCCATGAATTTTCCACCACTTTAAAGTGCTTCAGACTTCTAAAAAAGAACAAAGTTTTAAGAAGCTACTCTTTATGCAAACAATCTCCGGCATACCAGAAGAGAAAAAATGGCTCAAACTGCAAACCTTTAATCTGAGCTTTATCTTTGACTTCAGAAGAGTGTGTCACCTTATAGAGGCCGTCGGTAGCCTTAACGCTTAGATGAGCTTTAATTTTCAGCCAATGTGATACCCAGGGATTTATGGCTTAACGATTTTTTTACGGACGTTTTAGACATGTTTAGACAAAATGATGAACAAGAACAGATCAGAAAAGACCTTTTATGGAGATAAAACTCCAGTCGAGACGTGACACGACGTGACGTGCAATCAAGTAACTACGACAAATACAAATTGAGACACTTAATGCTTAAAAAAAAACTTCTAAATCGCGAGATCCTGACATCTCAAACTCGCAAACGCCAAATAGAAAAACAAACAACCCAAACTGATAAATTAGAGATTTCCAGACCTCGATATTTTTCTCATGGACAGCTCTCAAAGGAGTCGCTGTTCAAGGATGGAAAAGGTGCGCCATCCCTTAGGCATGTGGTTTCAACACGCGTGCGCAACGCGGTCGACGGGCTGCCGAACTTCCGGAGTCGTTTGACGCACTCGTTGGTTTCTGTGAAAAATGTAAATTGGATAAACTTTAATAATTGTTATTACGCAGTTCCAAACGATCTTCGCGAAGTTTCGAAGGAGTGACTAGAAGACCAAAGCAAGAGGAAAATGGGAAAGGGAAGGTATTATAAGACAACTCGATGATTGTGACAACGACGTACCAGGTGGAAAATTTTGCGTTCAACGAAATTATTTAGATCTGATTTAACTTCTCATTCATCAGAAACCTGATGCGCGGAGAACCTCAAGCTGATTTTCCCTTTATCATTTACCAAGAAGTCACACTTGCCAAATTACGATTAGTGTTTATTCTCTCACGAATATCAAAGGTCTTCAGCCTTTTATGAGGTCCAGCCCATGTGAACATTTATATGTAATCTTTGTCTACAAGTTAAATATTTAGTGCGATCTTCTCTTGTTCCATCGTGATAGGAATTTAATTTCAGTACTGTCCTGTTTGCTTCAATTGCTTAAATTGTCGATTCTTAGAATAACTCCATGAATTTAGAGTTAATCTTTTGACACGCACCCATCTGTCAGAACCGGGCTTGTGGTCACTTTTCCGCAATTACCAAACATGATTTGTTCTGGTTCTGCCACTTTGCGACAAGCCATTGGGTATCATATCGAACCCAAAACTTCTTGTGTCAAATATAAATGATAGCAAAGAGTAGACGAAACACCTGAGAACGACATATTAGATCGGTTTTTAAACAAAGTACGGCGGATATTCAAGTGAATCTTAATGACCCTTAATTAGCCGGTTGTTTGACTATAAATAAGGCGTTACAGAAGAACAAGGGATATCCGCCAAGGATAAGGTGGGGCACGTTTCATTTCCTCTACGATCAACCGACGAAAACCGTCAGTAGCATGAAAGAAAGCAAGGATACCCTCTTAATGTGACAATCATCAAGGTTAAACGTTTTCTTTCCGTAGACATATGTCTTAACCGCATGAAATACCACAATCAAGTCACAAATCCCTGAAAATACCGCCGCTGGATGTAGCTGGGTATAATCATAATGAATACTATCATAATTTACTTTAAGGACTATCTTCTTCAGCCAGTCAGTTGTAGTGAAGAGATTTTTTATATTATTATCTCGTCTGCTCTTCATGACATTTGAGCCCAACTATGGGGTGCACTGAACTTTGGTAGCTTCCATCTGAGCGGCTTCAGTGGTTTCTATGGATAACTGATTGACGAAGACAAAATTATTTATAAGTAAAGAAAAGCACTCACTTTTGGTTTAATTCTCAATAAGACGGTAGCTTAAGAGATCATAGAAAGTAAAGCGTAGAACAATACGTGGAAACCGCTTGATAAGAACAGTGGACAACAAAAAGGTGCCGTTTCATGTGTGATAGTGTCTAAGATTACGCTTGGATCCTGTCTAAAATTCCTATTTATGATTCAAGGCTTGTAAAATCCTTTATTTCCTGTAATTTTGTTTAGAACAGATGGTTGTGACAACTGAAGCAAGCAGAGAAATTTGTAAAAGAAAGCTAATAAAGCCCTTTATCTGATTATCGCTACAAGTTATTATGATCATTATCATTATATCGCTACTTTTATATTATTACCGCTACAAGTGTAGCGGAGGCGGCGGAGCGACCAGTAGAAGTTCGTTGCAGTAAAATGGCCACTACTCTTCTATCGTATACATCCCCAAAAGACCAACTAAAATGGCAGGGCACGAAAGAAAGCTTATTAACCCTTTTGTCGCTCAGATTAGAAGTCGAAAGCAGTAATATTCAAGTCACTGAAGACAACGGAACGTGCTAAGTAATGAAAGCTAGTTAAAGGGAAGACGTTCAATTTCTACATCAAGGCCAAAACCCTACAGATACAGGGAAAATAAAATAAGACTTGATCAGTTTATTTTGCACTAAGAACTCAAATGGCAGTGTCACAACCGAACTTGAAGAACAAGATGGCGGCATCGAAGCTTCCCGCTCCAGTGACGAAGAAGGTGACGAAGGTAATAACAGCATGGCCTATCAACCACCCACTGCCAACCTGAATAGTTCTATCCTCGAAGGGCCTTATGCCTCATACACTCAAATAGCCAGCATAAATGATGAGCTCAAAACTATCAAGTCCCTCTTGAATTTATTATCGACCCCTCAGACGAATATCGACACCTCAGAATCTGTTATCAACAAACTTCAACAAGAGAACGACAGCCTGAGACGAGAATTGAGCGCAGAAAAAGAGCGCAACAACGGGTTAATAGAAGAACGAGAATCCCTAAAGTTAGTCGTTACTCTCCTTTCTAAAGGTTTATACCACAAGTCGAACAATACAACTTCTCTACCAAAAGAGAATGGAAATGGAAATATCAATATTGTGGATGACACGCTTTCCACTCCTTTTGTACCCGCACCTGCAGAGAGCTTGACAAGTGCTAAAACTACGGTAATTCTAGGAGACTCGATTATCCAAAATCTGCAAGGCTATAAGCTAGGTAAGGAAGCTAATCAACGTGTTGTGGTGAAGTCCTGATCAACATCGCTCCAGATAGGGTTTGTCTACATATTAGGACGAATGATTTGAAATCAAAGACACCCAATGATGTTGCAAACTCTATTGTGGATCTTGCCAAAATCATTCAATCTACTTGTGGAGCCGAGATTGTATTGTCTGAGTTAACTCAGTACGCGCAAAGACGCACACAAAGAATCAGTAGAATCCGTTAACAAGCTCCCCATCAAATATTCTAAGCAGCATCACTGGCCTTTGGTTCGCCTCTCCATCATCACGGAGAAAGTTTTAAACAGATGTGGTTTACATTTAACTTTAACTAAACAAGGCAACGAACTATTGTATAAAAACTTTGTATCCTGTTTAGTAGCCAATAAAGCTGGTCATCATTGAACTGTTTCCTCGAAAATGCCGATCCTCTTACTTAAATTTCTTGAATCTCATAACAATAATGACAGTAAGTTTGAATCAAATCAATCAATGCTGGATCAGCAGAGATCCACTACTAAAAACCGCATTCCTTCTAAACGTGGATTTAAGTTAGCTTCACTAAATGTTAACAAACTCTCCACGCATATTGATGAAATTAGAATCTTGCTTGCCGATAAGTGTCTTGATGTTCGTGCTATTCAGGAAACTAAACTGGACGTGTCTAATAATAACTCGGATTTTTATGTAATCCGTTGTCTTATTACCAATAAATTGACTCTTAATACGACGAAAACTGAATTTATGTTAATTTGGTCAAGACAGAAATTAAACAGCCTAGCCGCTCTTCCTGCCTTGGAAATTAATGGCACCCAAATAAACAGAGTCAATTTTACCAAGTCTCTTCGTGTATTAATTGTTGAAAATTTAAGATGGAGTAATCATATCAACGCTATAACTTAAAAAATTTCGTCTGGTATTGGATCTATTTAACGAATAAGTCACTGTGTTCCACCTGCAACTTTACAAAATATCTATCATGGGTTAGTCGAATCGCACTTCGGCTATTGTAGTGTTGTTTGGGGTAACTGTGCCAAAACATTATCTGACAAATTACAGAAACTGCAAAATCGGGCGATCCGCGTCCTCACTCATTCTAGTTATGATGCTGACGCCAACCAACTTCTTACAGAATTAGGCTGGGACAATTTAGAAACTCGACGTCAAAAACTTAAGGCTGATATGGTCTATAAGTCCTTAAATGGCCTCACACCCAATTATTTGTCTTCGAAATTCATTCATAGGAGTGATATGATTACCTCTTACAATTTGCACGATTCTGAAAATAAGCTTGCTATTTCCTTGCCACCTACTAACTATTATAAAAATAGCTTTGGCTAATAATAATAATAATAATAATAATAATAATAAAGTCTTTATTAAGCACTCTAAACAACAAACGTGTTTAGTTACAATGATATGAACTCAGCAAGTATAAAACTAATGAACTAACTAGCTAACTAACTAACCATAGTGGTGCAGTCCTCTGGACCAGCCTACCCTCAGCTGCTAGGGAAGCAACATCTCTGGCTAATTTCCGACGATTAATAATTAATTCCGACACAGCATTCTTGTAAAATAGCCTTTAATTTAATTCACCT